GAGAATCTATTGCTTCCTTCCGGCGGAACCTCTGGATGTCGTTCGACTAATGGGTTGCTGATCTGGAGAAATGGGCCAACTGGCGGTCAACAGCGGCAAACACTCATGCGTCGCTGGTGTGGGCTTCAGACAATTAAATTGTACCATGAACTCACCCTAGTATGGCCTATTCTGACTACGAATGAGGCAACTCGTCACCGACAGGACTTCGATAACGACGTACGGGTCAGTCAAACAAGGATTGAATCTCGAGAATACCCATCGTGATAACACGAAATTGCTCATTCACACAAGGTCTCCCACACTGTACTGGGTTCTGTGCGCCAGTCGGTCATAAAAAGTCTTTTGGTAGGACTGCCATTCCTGCAAATCCACCCGCCCCCTCCTCCCCCCTTGGAGCTGCGCGTTAAGTTTTTTCGCAGTCTGGGCACTTAGGTGTTAACATTCTCCCTGATGCACGGGTGGGAGCTGAAGATCTCCACCTGGCCGCACGTTAGGAAGAACAAGGTGTGTTGCGTGGTCGAACTTACCGTAGACCGACAGTCTGACATGTACGTCAGTAATGCCCCACGTGGGCTCTGTGTTACTGCCGACGAAAGCTTTTAGCGGATTGATGGGTGTGCGGTTGGTTCGTCCGACTTTTTCGTTACCCTGTAGATGATATGTGGTTGTACGAGTCTTCTTAATCATTAGGAACCTACACAACTCGCGTACGACAGCATTCTCAAACGATGAGCCTTGGTCAGAACGCAGCTTGTTCGGTGCCCATCAGCGAGAAGCCTTACTATCGAATATGGCGCGGTTCACTGTCGTCGCGGAGACGTTAAGTAAGGACACTGGTTCGGCCACTTTGGCAAAGAAATCCACCATGAAAGGGATGAACCTGTTCCCTGTTGAAGCGGTGTGATCCAACCAACAGTGTCAACGCCCGACCTCTCGTTGGTGTAGCCTGTCTTAGTGGTCTGGAGAGAAGTCCTCAGGTAATGAATTTGGGGTTTCGAGCATAAGCAAAATTTGGATGGACTGATGGCGTTTTGAATGTCTCGTTTTTTGGTTTGGCCCGTGGTGTCGTAGGCGGAGGGGGCAGAGATTAGGGCAGGAGCGCTTATGTCCTGCTATGGTTAGTTCTCAGCCGTATTTATTGGGTCTCGTCAGTCATGAAAGTCATAAAATTGAATTCCGCCGTTGTGACTAGTTGAAAACCATTGTGAAGAAAAAGTAGAGCAAACTAGAGTCATCATCATTCCACTTAATTTGTGTTTATAGCATGTGCTAGTGTTAAGCAATTTTATAGGAAACTCAAATTATAATTAACTAGGCAATAGGCTGTAACTAATCAGTTTGCATAGCTAGAATTGGTCCAGTAAGTGCCTGCCCCATAAAAATGTGAGATCGCGCGCGCCCCCTATAGAGCTAGTGGCGCGTAGGTCACAGTTCACAACTCCATTCCTCGTTCTTTAGTCTAGGCACCTGCCAGTGCTTCTCAATAAAGTATGCTAAATTGGTATTTATTTTTAAGAAGGAATTGGGATAATTGAAATTGCGATTTTTCCCCTTTTTGCGCAAAACATGTGCTTATATCTATGCTTTTCATAATACACCTAGATGACATCACTAGTTTCGCGTTTTGTGATCATGTGAATATTTATTTCCTTTGTGTAGCCCCCCTACATCCAGAATTACTTAGGTAGTCATGGGAACTATGGACACCACTTCTCTCTTCTCTTATTGTGCTGGGGGTTGTGTAAAGCCTCTTTTATTAGAGATCGGACCACGGGGTGTTCGTTTATTGAGAGATCCAAATTCAAAGAGAGAACAAGGTCTGACTGTTGACTCAACCGTTGGTTGCTCGCCGCGTCGATGAGTGACGGATAAACGAACTACCAAACAGCACAAAACGCCGTTGTTCCGTGCTTTGCCATGCCAAGATATTCCACTGCCAGTGTTGGCTTTGCGTTTGACCTTTCTCACGCGTCTAGACGGTCATAAGCTATCGTGCCTTATGTGCTGGGATGCGTACTACACCCATTAATTGTCAAAAACACTTTTCGTTGTGCCTCCTTTTTGCGCGCTCTTTACTACCCAGGGGTTGAACTGGGAATTTGGAAAGCCAGCATTTGTCAAACCTGTAAACCCAACAACGACTTCAGCCTCTCAAATTTCGAATTCCAGTTCGTATTTCAGCGTTTGTGGCAAACGGCTTATCCTGGCCTGCTCATGCGGTTTTTTCGTAAGCAAGAAAATCGTATTTTATTTTCTGACAAAATGTTTGGCCACCCGGTGCCTAGTCATAGGGGAAATCTTGAAGTGAAATTTAGTCGATTCCAACCTCAAAAATGATAGACATCGTCGCTACTGACATAATCAGTTATTGACTGAAATTATGTCACGGCCATCCTGAATGGTCAGACCACCAATACTTTAAAACTTCATCATGGTGCTGTTGTCAACGTCGCAATTGTTACGAGTTACATTTAACCAACACGAAGGCCACATTAACTTAGGTGTTTGTCAAGTTGTCGTGAGTCTGCGTACGTCCCTGCCTGTTGTACGCGCGGCACACATAAAACGGAAACTGACTCCAGGTCGGCCACTGTGTTCAGTCTAATTTGCAGTCAGTTTGACTTGCACAAACCACTGATGCATGAGAGCGAAAGAGTTAGTCAGGTCGGATTTAACGTTCAACCCCTCAAAATAAACAACCAAATGCACTTCAGACCCTTTGTGGCACGCTGTCAGACGGAACAACTCGATGATAATCACGTCATAAAATCAGGCTACAATGGATGCTCCGTGTGCCGTTCATTGTATGCACGCGTGTGACATCCGAGACACCCCTCTGGATGAAACCTGGCAACCTAGTGAAGTTCGAAACCAAATCGGATGTGACACCACTGTCTAGCCTTGTCAACCACTGCGCCCGCGCCCGGTTCCGGTCTTCTTGACGCCATTTTGTCGTCTGAACGCGGCAGCAGTAGCGAAGGGGCCCATGCAATCGGCAGTTCACGGTCACTCACAATGTCGCCATCGAGCTTTACGGTATTTTATAAGGCAGTCGGTGTGTCCAACCTAAACTCTCTGTGCCCCGGTATCACTGTCATCTGCGACTTCTTATTGGTCGTATGTGGAAACTGCATCAAGTTGACAGGGTAACGGACGACGCCGTCTAACCCAGTTATTTTGGTCGAAAGTTCACACATATGCATCTCAGATTGACAGTATACAGGCCACCCCAAGAGGTTTTGCCCGATTTAAAATTACGATAACTTTATATGTATAAATGGTACCGACTTACAATATGAGGCAGTTCAAGGATTCTTTCTTTGAAATCGGAACCACCTTAGATTTTATGCCTGAACGTAAACACAATCACCATCTGTGCAGCTTTTCTAGTCACCATTTTACCTCAGTTTAAACAGTCGGCTTGTTCATCCGGTCCGTTCTGAATTTGGGTATGACATTCACTGACAAGGCTTCCTTAGAGGTCTCCATTTAATTGTTTTCGAATTTTCTGTGCGAAGCCTCCCTTCCATAGTCAAAATTACGATTTATTGTAAGCACTGCAATTTCCTTTACTTCAGCCACCCATGACACAGTTACTCTTTTCTTCTACTGTTGTCACTTTCAATCCGACAATAAATCTGGGAATAAAAAACTCGTCCGCACAAAATTCTATCGGCTACTGCATAGCTACTCCAATACTACAGCTTTCGGTTGTTGTTTGTCGTAAGTTTGTAGACTTACCTTATCAGACCTACCTCACGAAATGTTGGCCGAGATTCTACAATATGTTTTTGATTAGAAGGGATTACATAGGTGATGACTACCTAAATAGTGTGATTTTTCCCCATTGATTGTCGATGCCCTTACCAATTCAAATATTCTTCATAGAAAACACACAAAAGCATTCTCAGTTGGCAGCAAACTATAATCTTTGATTTTCGTACTTGGAGAAAGAGGTGCTCTTCGATTTAAAAAAAGTTTGCAATTATGGGGTCTTTTAAGACCATACTGCACCATATCTGTAGACTTCTCAAGGCCACACCCATTGCAAAATTCGATGGGCCTTTGATGACCTCTTAATAACTTAACGAAATTATGATTTTCCTCACACGGAAAGTATGCGGCATGTAGTTTGGAAGCTCTGTGCACAAGGAACCCAGCAAGTCGACTTCAAAATTATTGGGGACTCGAAAAAGTTTTTTTAAAACTGAAAGACATCCGTTCTTTAGACAAACTCTGAAGATGTAATTTGGTGTAAAATAAGTGCAAGGAAGAGGATCTTGTGCGTATTTTCCAAAAATACGTCTGAATTTGTAAGGGTGTCGAAAATCACTTAAGTAGTCACTTTTTGTGTTTGTTAGCGTCCTGGAGGAAGCTTATTAAAAAGCCAGCATCTTGGCGTCACTGAAAGATCTTGAACTCATGTTGTACGGTGATTACTATTACAACACAACCCGAGTACCTTTCTAATCGGAAACGCATTTTCGAATTTCGATCAATATTTCATAAAATAGGCCACATGCTGTACATCCTCAGGTTTTAAGGTTTAAAACAGGGCAAGCACTGTTGACGTACGCCGTAATATGCTATTCCCATCAAGTTAGTAACCAGAAGCACCAATAATAGATAAAACCCTAGGGATAATAAATGTGGGATGAGAACTGAAAAGCATTCGATACATTCGAGTCCTTTCTAGTCGGCCCTGTGATCATCTCAGAGAAGTCTGATATTTAATCTGTATCCTGTAAATACATGTATCCGGTTAAATGGCGATCAGATTGTAGACGCGTAGACTCATATGTGATGGAAATATTCAAAAACATAGAATTGACGCATTTTTCGAGACAGGTGCCAAAACACGTCTTGCATCATGCCGAGTTCAACAGGCCTACCTAGTCCAAAATACTCCAGCCAGCCCGCCTTTCTGGTACCGACCTGTCGTTTCCGTTTCTTTCCTAACAGGGAGTTCGTGTCCACTTGTTCTCTACCGCCAGCTGATGTCCTCAATAAAATCGCTGGATTCAAAGTCAGTGCACAAGTTGTGCTCTAGCCAAGTCGTTGTCTCCCTGGGTATTGCAATCAAAGAACTGCTGGAAAACAGTATTGATGCAGGTGCCAAAAGAATTGGTAGGTGTCTGTAGTCTCAACTTTACTAGATTTTATTCAGAAATTAAACTAAAAAACTATGGTTCTGACGCAGTGGAAGTCGTTGATGATGGAAGTGGTATACGGGAGGAAAATTTCAACACACTCGGTACTTTCTTTTTTGGTTTTTTTACAAGCTAAATTTCTAGGCAAAAAACACAGCACGTCCAAGATTTCAACGTTCGAGGATTTGGCAAGCGTCGCCTCGTTTGGTTTCCGTGGAGAGGCCCTCAACTCTCTTTGTCACCTGGCGTAAGTCAACCTGTGCCCACTTTTTCCGTCGCTTTCAGTCAACACTGACTCTTAGGCTGTAAGACGGAGGCATCAAGGGTACAGAGCTTGTCCACCTGTGGGCAGCCCAACGTGTTCGCAGACGACTGCCAGTAGAACCGCCGTCAACCAGGCGCCTGAGTTTAATTGGCGTGCTGAAATGACAATGCTGTCAAGTGTGGCTTGTCGCCGACTTGGTAGACCAATTATAAGAATTCCCACGCTTACGCGTTATCACGAGATGACTAATGCTGCGTGCTGTAAAATAGATCGTCACCCATCGCCGTCATCATACGAATTCGGGCGCCACATGGGTCGAGCCCGACTGGGACTACCCTGCATGTTGCAGCGTTAACGGTAACCGACTCGTCCTTCACCTGTGTGTGAGATCTCAAACATGCAAGAGGAAACCCCTTCCTTGTTGGGATGCGCGGAACGTGCATTATTTATAATTATTTATCATCTCTGTTACATTGCCACTAATAGCATCGCCACACTACCAGCTTAATAGCCACAGTCCCATCCTATCCTCACTGCCACTGCCTTTTTGCATCACCCATGGCCCTGATCGGGAATTTGCAAATCCATCGTACTGTGGCTGGCGTACGAGTGGCGGGAGCCCCAGTATACCCCCGTCGCACCCACTTCACCCGCCCACACTGTCCAAGGACATTTCATCATTAAATAGGCCTATTCGGCCACACAGGCATTCATGAAAGCCTGCGGTAAAAGACCGCAAAACTTACCGTATCTCCATAGTGCCACACGGCTTGACTAAATTCTCTTGAAAAATGCTGGCTAGGCGTACCTCCACCATTGCTCAGTGCGAGGAGCACAAATAGGTAAGCAGTATACCTCAGTCAGCCTATTTCTGACAGTACGATTGTTGCTGGAAAGCTGTGTTCCCTAGAAAACTTGACGTATACAAGCTTTAACTCGGCTAACCAGATATTGACCTATGCCAAGACATAACAAACCACTTTACGTTTTTAGGACTGACAAATAGCCTTGTTTAGGAACAGTTTCGCACCATCACGCCACTGTCAATGTTAACTCAAAGTCGTCATCGCAGCGAATGCTATTCAACTGGTGTATGACGCTCCGTGCATCTAGATCTTGGGGTGGACAATTGGTATTGGCGAAACATGCTGAGAGAGAGAGAGAGAGGAATGCGCTTTATTTTGAAATCATATGTTCAAAATTTTCAGCAAAAAGTTGGCCTTATTCACTATGGGCAGTAAATAAGTTACTAGATTATTCAAGAGTCAAAGTTTAACACAAAGAAACGATTATTAAGGGGATAGTTCAAGTCTTAGCTTCTGTATTTCTGTCTCTTCGCACGTAAGATAGCGCGCTAGGAATGGCAATACAGAAGCTCGATAAGCCGATGTGCGACAGGATATAAGACGGAAGTTGCGGCGCATCGGGCGGGAAGACTTGGCAGACATAAGATCGGAATGTAGGGGATGGGCAACGTCATCTAGAATTCGACCAGCAAATTGCTTGACCGCATTGAAGTGTCGTTGTAAGATTGTGTCAACTGCTTCGGTTTAAGTCAGCTTGGGTCTTGTCGACAAACAGAGGCTCTGTTTACCTCTTCGGCGTCCATTGGGGGACAAGTCGTCGGTCAGCGTAATGATCGAAGCTGAGGCAGATCACCCCACTAAATACGTGTTTACATTCCCGAAAAAAATTTCCTACCGAATTGCTCATCTGTCGTCACTAACGTACTAATTCTATCTTCAGTGTCGCTGCCCAAACAATCTTCTTTAAGTAGTGTCGATTTCTAACTATCTCACATTCGCAAAACTTCACAAAAGTCACGACAGAAGTAGATAAGATGGGTGGGTTGAATGCAGGCGTTTACTCATCTGACAGTCAAGACACAAATATAACAAATTAATCCAATGACCCCGGTCTGCCAGGCTTGGAGGCCGTCTCCGTGTGAATTGGTCACCGATACCACAACACATGAAAAACGCCATTGTTCATTTTTTCTGTGTGCCTCATCGGTTGCTATCTTCCTCACTTCACGAAAATACTGTTTCGAGGGCCCTGTTTTGCTAGCTTTACTATCAGTCTTGAATCCCTTCCATTGGCTTTCCGTAGCACATTAAGCCAGGGAAGAAGCCTTGGTCCGAGCGACATGATTGTCTTCCGGCCCCTGTGTGATGATAATGGTGGGCGGTGAATTTTTCTAATTGTAA